TATAGTAAGTATTAATTATTATTATTGGTATAATAATAATAATAAAAAAAAAATCAAGGTTAGTTGCCTTCGTTTAATCTGTACGGTCAGTAGTTTATTTCTAGTGGATAGGCCAATGGGCTAACAAGCTGACAAAAGAGACGTGCAAATTAATGTGAAACATTATATTCTGAATCCAGGAATATTTTACTACTCCCTCCGTCTCTAAAAGAACAACCCATTTGGTCAAAACTTTGTCCCAAAAAAAATGACTCATTTGCATTAAAACACTCACCAATTTGCTACAATATTTGTGTAAAATTAGCTTTCCCATATAAAAATTTGATTTTCCATGTTATTTTATTACTTTCTCTCTCTATTTTTTTACAAACCTCATGTAAATTTATCTTTCCAATATATTTTTACTTCTTTTTACTTAACTTCCTTAATACCCACGTAATCAACCCAAATAGGTCATTCTTTCTGGGACGGAGGGAGTACTAACTCAATGAAAAATGATGACACCTTTTTTTGGATCTCTAACAATCTAAGCTGTTTTGGCTTTATTATCATTCACCTAATGTTAGCGTTTTCGCCATTTTACTGACAACTACTACAGCACAGTACATTAATTAGTAAGATTACATGTAATTTGTACTCGTAATTACTAACTTAAGCATATCAATCAGATGATATAAATTAATTGGTTAGATTCTTGGAGCCTTGGAGGTGGTGTTCAAATATTGGGATCGAATATTCGAATGTCATGTACATCATTGTTCTTATAGCTCTCTCTGCAAATATAAAAAGACCTTACAAGCTATCACTCTTAGACGGACTAATTTTCTAAGAAAGTACTTAAGAGATTACGGAAACTTTATGCAAGTGTTCTTCTTAGGATCTGTTCACATTTACATAATTTTAGTTCAGTTTAGTTCAGCTTCAATCAGTTCATTTCGGTTCAGTTTAGCTCTTAATTTCCCTCTCTCATAAAATATTTATTTCAGTTCGGTTCAGCTCCAATGAGTTCAGTTCAGTTCAGCTCAATTCAGTAAATGTGAACAGCCCCTTATTCTTTTCATCTGAAAATTCTTTGAAATAGAATAAGATACTGGATGGAAAAAAATTTGTATTATCCGAATTTGCTAAAAAAAAATTGTGAATCTTTTGTTCAATCTTCCTTTAATAAAACCCTATTATTATGAGAAGTATAATACTGAGTACCGTTTTCCAAAACCTTTAAAACAAGAGCTCTCAATTCTAGAGAAGCATGGAGCTAAAAGAAAACCTTTACTCTTTTTTTTAAGGGGGAAAGGAGAATAATTTAATTAATAAAGATGATCAAAGTACACAAAATTGAGTAACTAAGCACAAGCACACTCAGCACTCTAAGCCTATGAAGGCTGCTGATCATCAGCATCAGAACAACAATCCAACTGCTCCTCAAACGAGAAAGATAGAAAACAACACTAATTAAGTTCCAACACCTAACAACAACCATACTTCTAACCAACATGCCATAATTTGGGCTGCACCTAGACACTTCCAGCACAGTCATCCTCATACACATCCCTCGCACAATCAGGTACATCATCGAAGAATTTTGCACTGCTATCGGTTCCCATAGCCACTGCCATGTTCCCCATATCCATTGCCATTTTAGCAAGGTTATGAGCAACCCTGTTAGCTTCTCTCGGGACATTAAAGCTAAAAGAGCATCCTTTGTTGAGCAATGCCTGCATATCAATTAAAATTACAGCTAACTCGTGTGTTCCGTGCTTAGCCACGCTTTCAATTGATTCCTTAAGAGAGAGGGCATCCGTCTCTATTATAACTTCCTTAAGCTGGGCATCGACCGCCATCTGCATTCCTCCCCTAATAGCCATTAGCTCCGCCTGTGAAGAGCTATTGGCAGCCACAATCCAGGCTTTGCCAAAAAACCAAGTGCCATCCGAAAGGCAAACTTGGCCATAAAGGCAAGATTCCAATTTTTAAATTTCTCATACCAAGACCCCCCAACCCCAATGGGAGACAAACCTTTTCCCAACTAGTTCTAGGGAGATAATGAGTTTTATCCACTTTATTCCAAAGAAATCTTCTACAACTTCTCTCTAAATCATCAAGAATGCCATTAGGGAGAAGAGTAGTTTGCATAGCATAAAGTGGGTACGAATTAAGAACTGATTTAATTAAGGTACATCTTCCGGCCATATTGAGAAGCTTAGCTTGCCAACCCCTAATTCTATTTTTAGTTTTATTAAGGAGGTCAACATAATCCGAAATCCTAAGTCTATTGGGACTAATGCTCACCCCTAAATACTTACCAAAAGAGGGAGCTCCCTTAATATTAGAAATATTAAGAATGGTTCTCTTTAGGGACAAGCACATTTTAGGAGGGAAGATGATTTTGGACTTCGAAGGGCTAACAAAAAGACCGGACTTAGACCCGAATTCACCTAGCACCTCCTTTATAACTTCGACATTTTTAACCGATACTTTAGCAAAAAGAAAAACGTCGTCGGCATAAAAAAGGTGAGACACACTAACATCATGATCGATCTTTATAGGATCCCATTGCCCCTTTCCAACTTTTTGTTCTATCATTAAAGATAACCTTTCAAGACAAAGAACAAAAATATATGAGGAGAGGGGATCACTTTGTCTAATCCCCCTTGAAGGAGTAAAACTATCCGTAATTTTCCCATTCCACAAGATAGAAATGGACAGAGTCGTGATACAACTCAAGATAAGATTAACAAGAGAAGATGGGAAATTTAATCCTATGAGTGTTCCATTCTAAGCTATCATAGGCTTTAGAAATATCGATTTTAAAAGCCATTAGGTGTTTTTTGCTTGATTTTTTTTAAAAAAATGAGCAATTTCCTTGATGACTAATATATTTTCATCGATAGATCTTTCCTTTATGAAGGATTGCACCGGATTAATTAATTCTCCTAAGAGAGGCTTAATTCTATTAGCCACGATTTTAGTGATGATTTTATAAATAGTATTACACAAACCAATTGGTCTAAAATCATTCCTGGTTTCCGGATGTTCAATTTTAGGGATGAGACAAATGAAAGACACATTAACATAGGTCGGGATTGAACCATTCCTAAAACAACTAGTGATAAGATCAACTATAGAGTGCTCCACCACATCCCAATATTTTTGGAAGAATCTCGGTTGAATGCCATCCGGCCCCGGACTTTTCATCGGAGCCATCATAAAGAAAGCATTTTTGATTTCCACATTACTAACGACACTAGTGAGAAACAAATGGTCATCATTTTTTACCACTGCCTTAGGAATAAAGGAAACCACTCTAGGCTGAGAAGTTTGTTTTGACTCAAAAATTCTTTTAAAATGATTAACACACAAGGTTTTTAACATGCATTGATCATTTATCCAAATACCAGCATCATCTTTTAAAGAAAGGATTTTACCCCTACTGTTTTTTATTTTGACTAAGATGTGGAAGTATTTAGTGTTCCAGTCACCATATTTCCTCCAGAAAACCTTTACTCACTTTCAAGAATTATGGGACTTAGGATACTCGAAAAATTATCCATGAATAAATTAATAGGAATATGGAATGATATAAGCTTAAAATTACTAGAGACCTTATGCATGAAAAAATTTGGAACTCAATAACATAATTGGCAATATAGAACCTTTTTTGCCGATCGAAATGATACATATTTGTATGTAGCATGACTTACGATTCCAAAATCAATGAATTATTTATCCACCTTTTTGCATGATAAAAAAATCCGTTCATTTCAACTAATCCATCATACAAAATTTAAAATAAAAATTTTATCAAAAAAATAAAATAAAATAAATTGTTCTATCATTATCTTATAAATTTTGGAGATGTAAGAGAATCACCTCCAGACAGCAGGCAAAACACCTCATAACTTTTTTATTTTTATTTTATTTATTTATTTGAACACTTCATAACTTAAAAATAGTTTTTTTTTTTTTTTTAAAAAAAAAAAGAAAGAAAACCACTATAGTATTTGTGTGTGCACATTTCGTACACATACATCTTGTTTAAATAATGTGTGATAATATATAGTGGGTGATAATGGTAACTAATGAGTACATTTTTACTACAATTTGTTATTATTGCATAAGTTAAACATATATATTATCTTAGGTTTTTCAATTCAAAAATCACAAAATAATGCAATCATTATAGAGTATTAAGAGTTTATATATATTTGACTTATGATAGTTAAAGAAATATCATGGGAAAAATCAGAGATACTAAGAGCTTCTGGCAGAGTAGGAGTCAGTAGAGCAGATTTCATTACTATTACTATAATAAAATTAAAACTAATTAACAAATAACAATATCATCAGCTACTAACAAAAGAGTAAGAATTTGTTAAAACTAAGCCGAGGTAATTAGATCACTTTGAAAATATAATTAATTCACCATTAGATTTTGGTACAGCTTCTAGGAAACTCAATTGGAAGATAAGCTAGTCAATGATGTTTTATGATGTATGCCTTTATTCCTTGCTAAATTTCTCATATAATGTATGAAGTGCAAGTTTTTTTTGAAAAAAACATATTAGCTACAACATTGACAATTAGCTAGAATAAATAATTAATAATGCAAAGATCATATAAATAAAAGAACAAAGAAAGTACATCCATAATTTAACACAAAGTATTAAATGAATTTGATTCACTGTGAGTCTACTTGATCACCCAATACATACATTCAAAAATTGATGTGTCCAATAACTTGTACTCCAGATGAAATTTTCAAAAACTATACTCATTACTACAAAATTCGTGGTTTTTGGACGCTATTGGCTCGACGTTGTGTATGGGGCGTCAGCATAAAAATAGATTTTTTTCGACACTTTTATGTGTCGAATTAGTTTTCTAGCGTCGACAACCACGTATGATTTGCACGTGACTCAAGGCAACCCTTAAAGGTCTGTACGGAATTTAAAAAAAAAAAAAAAAAAAAAAAAGAAGGATAGGAACCGCCTTAACCCACGCAGCCACGCTCAATCGCTCATTCTCTCTCCCTTTCGTTCTATCTCTCTCGCTCTTAGATCTCAGCAATTTAAACAGATTAAACCTAATTGTTCATCATTTTCCTTCATTCTTATACGATCTCAGAGAATTTGGGTGGAAGCCAGTTATAATTTCCTTCCTCTCCTTGTCAATTTCTTCAATTTAAGGTAATCTTTTTCTTTTCGCTCATCAATTTCCATGCGTTTTAGCTAAAACACCATTCAGATTTGATTTGTTAATTATTTATATGTTGTGAAATAGCATTTGAAATTTTGGTTATTGTGGAGTAGTAGAAAGCCTTTGTATTTAGGGTTTTTTAAATGTCGTGTTGGGTGAAGGGGATTTAGATTGCATTTTTGGTTTTTTGCGCTTTAGTTACTATTGATTTGGTCCGACTTAGATTTTTTGATTTTTTTTCCAATTCTGATCGAACTGCAATTCTTTGAAAATATACTTTGTGGGTGTTTCAATTTTGGGTTCTAATTGCTTAGCATATGTCTGATTAATCTTCCTTAAGCTCCCGTTTCTATTCTTAATTCTCTATGTTTTGGTTACTTATGTTAGCTAATTCGTAGCATTTTGGTATTTTTAGGCACATAAGAATATTGAGTAGAGTGAATAGGTAGCAAATAGCATCTATTTGTTGCAGAAATGCTTCCAGCTATCTGATATCAAGGGTCCAAGGCAGATTTAATTCAGTTGGCTCTTGGCTGTTTGTAGTGCTTCTAATTGACTAGATTTGCCTAGTTTAGAAGCTTCTAATTGTCGGAGCCAATTTGATGCTTGGTTCAGATTTTGGTTGTAAGTGTATGTTTTGGTACAATTATCCTTGTTCCATGCTTGTTGCTGCTATACCTTATTCTGCTTGTTGTTATACCTTACTTTGCTAGTAAAGTTTGCTATTGTTCCGGCACCCTCTACAAACTAGTGAGTATCCTCTAAGGTTTGCACCTCCTGAATTAATATTTCCATATACTCTAATCCTATTTGAAGGAGCACAATACATATTTGATTGCTCGAATCCTACTTGAAGGATTACAGTACAAATTTGTTTGCTCGAATCCTACTTGAAGGAACACAATACAGATTACACTACTTTAATTATAGTATCACTAACTGAAATTTGCTCCTACTTGTTCATTACTAATCACAAACAAAGATGCTAGGGTATTAACTAATTAATTAAAAGAGGATCAGATTGTAAAAGTAAAGAGAAAGGTGATTACTAATAAAAAGTTATGATAAATTCATCTAGGGGAGGGAGGGGTTGACAATGAAGTAGAGGGACATTTTTTATGGGTGAAGAAGAGGGGCCTGGATAGGGAACATATTATTTTCTGGTCTTGATTGCTTTCAATACTTCATACTTACACATTGTATTTATCACATGTGTTTCTAATCTCATATCAAGACATGCTTGTATCTGGTTTTATTCTATAATGAGTGCATGAAAAAGCTCGTTGCTACTTTAATTTTATAGTGGGCTTGCTGCTATTATGGCTTGTATTTTATGATCAAGTTATGATAAAAACTACATTTGAACTTTGTGATATGAAGATTTTGTTCACTATAATTAGTTATGTTTCTTTAGGGAATTGAGGGCATTGGGTTACTTTTTCTTTGAGGGCCTGTTGATCACCTATTAGTGTAAATTTTCATTTATTTTTGCTTCTAGCATTATTTGTCAGAGTACTTGTAGACTATATTTTGTTGTATAGTGCATGCTCTGTTCTAGTGAGTTTTACCTACAGCCAATTTACTTGTATCTTGTAGAGTGTTTTTATTTAAAAGATTATCTTGTGATCAATCTTTTGGTAGGCAATATTCTCTTGATTTGAAGTATATTATGTTAAATATAGCTGGTTGTATGGGCCATATGCCTCTTTGGTCATCCCTTCTATTTCAGGTTCTAGTGAGTTTATACCTTGGAGGAGCTTAGTTGTCTTCACACAAGTCAGGATTAATATTTGCAACTGTAAAACATTGGTTTAATATTATTTGTTTTCTGTCAGCTTTAAGTGTATGCTCTATGGTTTTCCTTATTTCACATTATACTTCAGCATCATGATGTTATACTCTTGGTTTTTGTAGGCATTATGGAATCTACCCGCACATCATATATTATATTTAAGTACAAAGTATGGTTTGGAGTCTTTCAATTTTTTTTATACATCTCTATTTTTTGTTTATCTTTTGGTTATACTTTGTCCTTTTAGTATATGAAACTGTCCAAACATGTTGATGCATCATGGAATATATGCAATGCAAAAAATAAGATGATAACAGTGGAAAAGGAAACTATTGTACATAGCGCTTAATAGTGAGGCTCCTTTGATCATTGACGGTTGCTAGCAACCGCTTTCCAAAACTTACAGGTAAGCTGCTGCAGGGTTCGTTTGATTAAGTGTATTAAGTCTAAAAAATATATTATGCTTGCTTTATTAGTACGTTGCTTTTAACTAAAACAATTTTAATCTATGACATGCTTGTTAATGGTGCAGGATATTGTTGTGATTATGTTATGTCCTTGTCTACGTCAAAGTTATTAATCAAGTGGTTTTATGAAGACATTTAGTGGCTCCGAATTCAACTGTGAGAAGCTGCAATTTTTTTCAATGTAGATGGAGAATTGCAATGAAACTTTTTTTATTTAATGTTAGCTCTTTAAGGGAATTTGTGTTACACAAAATGTATTTGTACTTTTCTTTTATCATTCTAGCTTAGATTAATAACGTTAGAATATATTGGTTTTTTTTTTTTTTTACATTGCACATGTACTAAGTTGTATACTTCTTTTGATTATGAAAAAAAAATTTGAGTAAAATTTTCTTTTTTTTTTTTTTTTTTTTTTGAGAAATTCTTTTTTTTTTATTATCTCTAATAGCATGGAGTACATATTTTTCCTAGTTATAATTTTCATGATTAAATTAAATTTTATTATTAGTGGAAAAATCTTCTCTACATTGGTTATAATTATATAGAACATAGACTAGAAAAAGCGTCGATAAAATATAAGACATCTAATATAAATGAAACTATAGACACAAAAAAGCGTCGGAATTTTGTGATTATAGACAAGAAAAGCGTCGCAAAATCTAAGAAAGTGCGCGAACTAATACAAGTTTCGACGCTTCGTATAAATATTAGGACAATAAAAAGCGTCGAGAAATGTGACGCTTTTAGGCGTCCAACAAATTTCTCGACTACTTATTTTCGACGCTTTTTTGAAGCGTCGAGAAAATAATTTTCGACGCTTTTCTGTGTCGAAATAAGCCTAAAAAGCGTCCAAAAACCACGGAATTTGTAGTAGGATCAAGATATACTCAAATGTATTGTTGAGATATTTTAAAACTTATGTGGAATGTTCAGCAACTTATATTTATCTCATCATGTATGAGTCCAAACTCACACAATATAATACTTTTTTCATAATTTACACGCTAAATAAAGTGGTTAGATGATTAGAAAAAAGGGAATACTGTAATATATATAAGTTCGTTTCAAATTAGTATGGTCGAAGTTATCCATAGAATGATAATCAAATGTAACGATTGATAGCATGTATGTCTATTGTCGGCACATTAACGAATCAATATTAACAATCAATCAATAATCGAAAATGACACATAAATTAATTAACACTATTCTTTTTAATTAAATGATCAAATAATTCAAAATGAACAATCGGTCTAAAATCTACTACTTCTTATATGACTAATACTACGTATATAAGATCTTAAAATGTAAATTTTAGGCCGTCTATTATTAAAAAGGCTAATGTAACATTTTAATACAGAAATTTAAAAAGTCATCACATGTTGTTGGCTAGCAAAATGAAATACTAGTATATTAAACTTTGTTCTATCTTCTACAACAAGGGAAAAAGCATAAATAAGATATTCGCCATGATTTTTCGCTTCGATCAACCGTAAAGGCGAGTGCTCAATCGTTATCCAGTCTACATAATAAAATATAATTCGATCAAGCAGCAATTTATTATATTAATTAATCTGGTCTCAGTATATATTAATTTATATATTGCAAGGATAAATTAATTTAATTATTTATATATTGCAAGGATAAATTAATTTAATTATGATATTAAAATATCACAGTTGTAACTAGAAAGTCAGAGATTATGACCAATAATATTTCATGTGATAGTGATACAGTTAACAAATAAGTTTATACGTACCACTTTAATTTTATGTTACTCTGTTAATTTTATGTGACACCATGGTCTCATTCCTACACAAAATTAAGATTTTTGAACCAAATTGACGTACTCTTAAGTAAGTGCAGTATTTTCAAAGACTGAAACCACACGTAAAATAGATTTTTTTTTTTTTATATATATTTTTTATTTTGATGAAGGGAGTAAAATGGAATTCACTTTAACTCTTGCAACAAGTTATAGTAAGTATATATATATATATATATATATATTCTCTTCTTGGTGAAGACGAGTTATAAGACTTTGCTCTACACGATTTGATTTTACTATCATCATTTTATTTGTATACTATTACTCCCTTCGTCCTCCAAATGTCTCTGCACACATGTTTTTGACATGAATTTTGATATAAATAAAAGAAAAAGTGAATTGTTACAGAGAAAAAAGAGCAAATGATAGTTCCATACGGAGATACAAGAAATTTTGTCAAAAAAAGGAGATACAAGAAATAAATGAAAATGAGCACTCTTATCAAGTTAGGTTCCCCAAATTAAATATCCTACAAAAGTATAAGACTAAATTTTTTTCTTTTTCTTTTTCTTCTTTTTTTTTTTTTTGAAGAAAAGATTAAATTCTTTTCAATTTAAAACAAAATTTTTAAAATAAATTTCTAGAATTTTCATTCAAGTCGTTTTAATTAATTAATAAAAAATATATTATTCAACCAAAGCAACGTTTTACTTAGCCATATTAACTTACTCTGTACAAACCTTCTTCAAGTAATCCCTCTTGTTTACCACAACTTCCCTAGTCCCTACGGAACTATGTATGGCAGAGATAGTAATAGAAGGTGCATGGTGGAAGAGCAATATATATACTATCTCTATCTCGCAACTTTTAATAAATAATTTAACATGACATTCGTCTACAAAGTTAAAAGATGCTCCGATCTCCTTGTTATTACCACGACTATACACTATAATGTCCAATTCGTATCCAAAAATTTCATAATATCGATTTCCCGAGCTCATGTCACTCTAATACAATTATAATCATACATACCATAATAACCGTACACACCTTATTTCCCGTTTATGCAACCTAGCTACCCATAATTTGTGTGAATCGTATCGTGTGAGCTAGGGGTGAGCATAACAGGGTACCCTGTAAAAATTCCAGGAACCGAAACCGGAACCTGTTGCAACAGGTTCCTCAAAATGAGAACCGGAACCGGAACCAGAACCTGTAGGTTCCGGTTCCAATTCAGGGTACCCTGTATTATAATATACTCACTAACTTTTTCGCGGAAATTTTAATAAAAAATTGGTTGGTCACTAATTTATAATGTTTGCAACTTGCAAATAAGACAAACTAATAGTAGTTGTCTGACAAATTTAATATACATATTTTTATAATTGTAATTTTGATATTTATTATTTAAAAATTGAGTAAGAATTAGTGTATAATTTGAAATTAAGTGATACTTTTATCAGGTACAGGGTATCCTACAGGTTCCGGTTCCAAAAAATTGAGAACCTGAACCGGAACCTATTACAACAGGTTCTCCATTTTGCTACCCGGAATCGGAACTTCTTGTATAGGTTCTGGTTCCGGAACCTGCGATTCCTAACAGGTTCCGGTTCCGATTCAGGGTACCCTGATTTTTTGCTCACCCCAAGTGTGAGCCAAGACATGCACGGACACAAATCTTATTGCAATAAATCATAGTATCTCAATATCTCATAGATCAAGCAAACATCACACAATCAAGGAAAAAAGAAATTGAAAGAGCAAGATTCATGCAGCCTCCTATATATAGTTTAATTTCTAGAAGAATTTATATTGATTTGGGCACATGCAATTGCTAAATTACTGATTGAAAGAACTAAAAATTCAAATATGGAACAAGAGCACATGATCATTGAAGAAGCCAAGGCCAATAAGGGAAAGAATCCCTTAATTTTACAGCCTTACATCCAAAACAATTAATTAAACATCACAAGCACATTTAATTCTTTTGCATCTTTTATGGGATTTAGTGTAACAAAAATTTATACATAAATAATTTAATTTTTTAGTTACATAGCTAGACTACTCCTCAAGCTAATCCATGATTAATTTATTTTTAATTATGTGATCGAATAATAATTCTTTGTTTGGATCTGTGACTTATTGACTATTTCTTTATCAATAGATGTGTAGAATAATGTTTTGAAGTAATTTATTTTTGACTTAGTAATAAAAAATATTTGAATATTAATAGGTCTTGATCAACCTAAATTTTAAATCAAACAATCCATTTGTCTTGGCATTCTTTTCAAAGTTGCGTGAAGATTTGTAATGATATTATTATTTTTACTTAAGTACAGCTACTACTATGTAACACTTTGACTTATAATATGTTTATATACTATGCTTGATTGATAATTGTACAACAAAAAGACTTGCGTGGACCTGGTCCACAATAATATTATTGTAGACCCGAGGTCTATACACACGCAACTGACATTATATTGAACATAGTGACCATTATTTTTAACATAGTAACCTTATTTTTAACATAGTAACCTTTATTAAAACTACTACAACGTTTAATAATATTGTGAACTTGAAATATGACGCTATTACCCTAATTTTAACATAGTGGCCTTTATTATTCATATTGATCAGTATATAAAATATTTCATTACAAAAATAACCACTTAGGCATATATATTACCAAAATAAATTTTTATTTCAATATAGTGACCTTTTTTTTAATTATAGTGACCCTTTATTTTTTATTAATAAAACAACCATACTTTCTCTAATGTTAGTGGTCCACAATAAATTAGTGTGAACCAGGTCTATTTAAGAATTTGTAATTGTCCAAACCCAAACTGTTTAGCTTTGTATGTTATTGTAACCATACATTGTTAATTAATTAACATGTTTATCCTTATCAATACCACTGTAATGTGTGAAATAAATAATGTCACATTATCTAAACATCTCATAATTTAAACCTATGATATAACTTCATTTGCAATCGATAATAATAATACTCGGTATAGTCTAGAGAGAAGATTATCCTAATTTCTTGTTTATCTTTATAAAAATTCTTAATAATACTTGAGCATATTTACACATTTTTCATCATATGATATTATCCAATATAATGTAAGTAGGTTCGATCCAATCAATTTAAGGATGCATTATATTTATCAAACTTAATTATATTTATTTAAACTTATTATATCTTATTATAACTTAAACTTATTTTAGTTACCTTTGTAAACTTATTAGGTAACCTTTATTGAACTTATTTTAAACTTATATTTATTAGTTTGATCTTGTTATTATCAGGATTTATTGTTCCTCGATGAGCTTGAAATAAGGCGAACATCTATATCGTATCAATCTTAATCCTCCGCCCCTATAAATTTAATAATAATTATAATATTTTTGTAATTATTAAAATTAGTATGTGTAACCATTAACTCAAACATGATTATATAGAAAATAAGCCTTTGTTATTATACTTATGCAAAGACAAATTTAAATTGTTTCTTAAAATAAAAAAAAAATTAAAAAAAAAGAGGCAAATTTAAATTGTAGAAAAATAAGTCTTGTCATGCCAAGACAAATTTAAAGTGTAGGTACATAGAATTTCAGATTTCACTACACATGGG